AACCTCTGTACAGAGGCGACGGCGACGCCGTATGCTGGCTGCAAGACGCCGGGCGTCGTCACTGATCCAGGGTTTGTCTACCGTAGACGAAGTTGCACAGTTATACACCCTCGTCAACGGTATAACGGGGGTGGAAGATGGCGACGTCTGCCTCGAGGCTATTCTTGCAATAGATGCTCTTCTTGAACTGGACGAGATGTCCCTTGAGGAGTTCGGCAGTACCTTAAAGGCAGGCGATTTGGCCTCAGTTGTCATTGTACGACCAAACAAGGAGATAAAATCGTCATCGCTTCTGAATGAAGCTGTCTCGGAAGACACCAAGAGAGTGCTAAACACACGAAGTAGATCGTCGATCCTACGAAATCCCTTGGATCCGTACTATTCTTTAGTAAAGAATTTCTAAGACGTCGTCTCCAAAAACCCGCCTACGGTCCTACCTCCAGACCGAGGTGTGTCATGAGATCGACCTGGTTCCGGGAAACTGCGTAACACGCCTATGACCCCTGCCCAAGGAGCATTGTGATGTCATTGACGCCTTTTTCCGTGCGAAGCACGACGCAGGAATGGTGCATGAGAGCAAGTCTCCCCGTTCGGCATCCACGTTTTGTGTTCAGGAGCCGAACGGCAAGTGGCGTATCGTTCATGCTTACAATAAGCTCAACGCTGCCACCATTCCGGCAGGAACGCCAATTCCTAGACAGGACGTTCTTCAGAACAACATGGTGGGATGTACGAAGTACATTGCACTCGATTTGGTAGATAGATACTACCAATTGCTCATGAGAGCGAGTTATATTTTTGATAGCGGTAAGCACTCCGAGCGGCATGCTCTGGGAGTGGCTGGTGATGCCCCAAGGTATGTCAAATGCGCCAGCAACAATTATTCGTCCTGTGACGCAGTTGTTCAGGTCCCACAGGGCATATGCACAAACATACACCGACGACATTTTCGTTCACAGTCGTGCGGAGCACGGGAGGACGGATGTCAAGAACCACATCGTCCATCTAAAGTGGTGCTCGAGTGCATGCGCACTAACAAAGTGTAAGCCAATGCAGAGAAGTGCATCTTCGGCACGAAAGAGATTCCCGTTTTAGGGTGCTTCATTGGGAAGCGTGGCCTTCGAGCGGATGTCGCTAAGGTCAAGGCCATTGTAGATTGGCCGGTTTTAAAAAATCAGAAGGGCTTGCGTTAGTGGCTTGGTCTTGCCAATTACTTGCACAAGTACAGCGTAAATTACGCAGAGATGGCCCAGCCATTATTCAATCTCCTTGAAAAAGATGCGGAATGGTGTTGAATCACCGAACATCAGGAGGCTTTTGACGGGGTCAAAGACAGCCTCCTGTATGCACCAAAACTGGCACTGCCGGAACCTGATCGTTCTTTCAGCGTTGTCTCTGACGCTTCGGACTTTGCCATCGGCTGTGCACTGCTGCAAGCAGACACCGAGAGGCGAGATCGGGTGATCGCGTTCGAATCTCGACAGCTCAAAGCTGCAGAGAGGAACTACCCAGG